ATTCGCCTTAAATGGTAACAAGCTCCAAGTGTAAAATATAAAACATTAACAAGTAAATATCATAGATAAATATTTTATTTTATATTTAATTATTTACAGTGTGTTTTTGTTTAAAGTGCAAAATTTATATTTAAAGGTATTTTCTTTATTAATTTTGACCTTTATGAATTGTGATTTGTTTGTTTTGCGATTTTAATTAAACCCTCTCTTTTGCACGCTCCCGCGGGGGTTTTGAAAGCTCACCGAGCGCGCTCAAATTACAAGCGAAACGCATGATTTTCACGTTTACTCTCTTACCTGCGTGGCATTTCTCGCGAACGTTGAGCCAATCACGGCTCGTAATAAATCGCTTCGCGCGAGCCGCGGGAATGTGATAAATGAATTCGAATTAAACGGATCGCAACGAGACGCGGCGCGCAGTGAAAATTAATGAAAAGCCTCAATCAGCGCTCAATATGTTCATGTACCTTTGCTATATCGCATTACAACTTTAAATTCAGTACAAATTCACGCATACAATCTTGTGCAAGTTAACGTTGACTTGACTAAATCAACTTGATCCGCAATAATAATAACTCTATTGATAATTTGTTATCGGTGTAATTATTGTTTCCACGGTTCAGAGCGAAAGAGTTTATCGTCGATTGGCATAATATGTTTTCTTGACTCTCTGGTATAGATATAGCTTTAGTTAAAGGCTTAGTTAGGTTTGAGTTAAGTTTTAAGTTGAGACTGGTTGTGGTTAATGCAAGTCGTGTTCTCTGAAATCGTATTGGCTTAACCTTAGCGTCTCGATTGCATTCATCGCTGCGCGCGCTGTGTGTGTTGTTTTTCATGCGGCGCGCGCGCCCGCGGCTGCTGTTTTAATAATAGTCGCATTGATTAGGCGCGCCTGATAAGGATTATTTAGCAGTGCGTTGACCTCTTTAACATCCAACGCAGTTTTATTTCAATAGTGCATATATTTTATCAATTTATATATGGTGATACTTTTAAGTAACTTTTCTATTGCTAGATGGCGTTATCAGTCCTAAAAACTTAATTTTTATATTATTTGGTGTTTTGTCCGAAAATGTTTTAAAAAATGAGTATATACATAGAAATCGTTGTTTTCTTGTCATATTACCAAACTGATGAATTGCGATGGTTTTGGTTTCTTTTAATTAATTTTTCTATTGATAGATGGCGTTATTATTCGGAAAATTTGCGCTATTGCGCGTGCGCGTTTTAATTCCGTGGAGGTTTAAGTATAAATCCATTTTTTTTAAATGTTGGAAAGCACGTTAACCCGTTGTTAACACTTCTAGCAGTAATAGGACTTTCGTTGAAGAGCGCAGTCGGAAGCGGCGCACTTTGAAATTATGATTATTGTTATTAGACGCTGTGCCAACGACGCCCAAGCACCTCTCTTGCAAATTCTCAAAATTCTCGTTAGCATTAGCATTAACTCACGAGTCAAAACAGACGTGGAATAATCTCATTACAACTTAACATATAACGTGTGTTTAAAATTTTAAAATTTTTAGTTTCTGTAACACTCTGTATATAAAACGTAATCATATGTCAGCTTAACTTCCCTTACACTTTTTTCTTTTTTCACGATGCAATTATCAACTCATCTCTATCTTCATACATCTTCAACTTTGGTTGAACCTAACCTTTCTTAGAATTATAGGTTATAATGAAGAAATAAAGAAGTGAAACACGCGTAAAAGCACTGCAAACAAAAATACGGGTGGTAATAACGCAATAAACGAAGAAAACGCACCGTTTAGACGGTTTAGTAGATGATTCTCGGTATTGCAACGCACAACATCACATCTCACATCCCTGCTATTCCTCCTCTTGGGGCCTCTGGACTTGTTAGTTTTTGTCTCGGCGATGACGGCGCTGACGACGACGATGATGATGGTTTAAGTTTAAGGACGCAATTAATGTCGTTGGCGCTGCCGACTCAAGATGATACTTACATGCGAATGTTCCTTTGAGGATTTCGTGAGGATCTGCGTCGCATTCAAGCCGAGCGAGCGGATATCGTTTTGCGCAATTTCTACGGCTTTAATCTTTAATCAAGTGGGTTTTCTGCTTGTTGATGACATTCATAATCTAATCATTTATCATTTTCCAAACAGGAAGAAATGAGTATGTTTTTTCATCTTATCATAAAAAACACGGAGGAAATTCAAATTTGTTTTTGTTTTGTTTGGTCTGCCAAGTAAACAATTTGTTCGTTCACAGGAAGTTGACAACTTTTTATCGCTACATATATTGCGCGTATTTTTTTATTTAAATTTTAGTTAGGAAAACAACGGAGTATTTGACGATAAATGAGTAGTTAAATAATATTGCTTGTTAAAATTCGCTTGTTTTGTGTTAACTTGCCGCGAAATAGCGGCGATAAAAATTGTTATTTCGACCTTGACATTGCATCGGATTCGATTTCGTTTGACTTTACTTCAACATTGTTAAATAAGGTCAAATGATGACTTAATTGTGTTCTAAAAATATAAATTAAAAAAAAAATTACCTTTAGTTAAAAATATTGATATTTTGGCAATAATTTCATAAAAAAAATTAAAAGTTTATAATTTGTATCACTTCATATCATTAATTCAACACGTGTACTATTGCATTGTTTCAATTCATGAATTTTATTTGTTTTTATTTTTGTTTTGTTTGTTTTTATTTTTGTTTTGTTTGTTTTTATTTTTGTTTTGTTTTGTTTTGTTTTGTTATGTTTTGATGATTTTGGTCAACCTTGAAATTATTCGTGGCACACCTTAATTGTTCCTCCTCTCTGTGTGTGTTACTCGCCCGTATATTATGTCATTCAAGCGGAGTGAGTTATGCGTTTGTTGTGTACATGTTTTTGTTTCGTTTTTTGGTTTTGTCTGTTATCTCGTATCACACGCGGTGCTAATTGAAAATCGCGACACGCTTCACGTATTATTTCGCAATCGTCAAACTGTGTGACAGTCACAACGATAATTATGCAATTTTTCATGTTTCCCAGCTCAAACAATACAAACTTTAGTGTCTTTCAATGTTTTAAATGTATTGATAGTTGTGTTCGTAGGTTATGTGATCCGTGCACTTGTATCATCAATTTAAGCCATAAAACTGATGGCTACATGTCGCTGCCTTTAATTGAAACACGATACGCACTATAACGATCCGTTTTGTATAATGTTTATTATTTATCATTATCACATTACGTGCGGAGGAGACTTTTTGGTCTTCTTAAATAGACTTTAAGAATTTATTTACTTTCTAATCTTAAATTTATGTTTTGTAACTTCAACTTCCGAAATAAGACGAAAAGTAAACGCGCCGCGACCATTACGATCATCTCTCGCCTCCACCAGAGATGCAGACGCTTTAAATACTTTATGTTGCGCATGCGTGCAGCTCACACAACACACATGGTCGAGAGGCAGGTTTCGCGTGCGATGCATAAATGAACATCTTAAAACGAACAAAAAAAAGCACACAACACACACATACATATACATAGAAATTCAATTCCTCCATTCGATTCTCAAGCAGTTTGTGCAAGTTGGGACTAAGGAGTACGAGTAAGTGTTTTGTTTGTTTTCCACTTTTTTTATTTTAGTTTTTTGGTTGTCCCTGGTGAACAGTGGGATCCCGTTCGTTGGTAAATGTTTAAAGGTCTCCACACTGCAGTTGTGTAGTGTATGCGTTGGTGGATGTAGTGGTGACCTTGGTGCGCGTCCGCGGCGTGTATTTTAATCCGAGGCACTGGAGCGCTAAAGACTTGATGGCCTTGGTCGTTTATTAACGTCTGCCTGCCTGCAGCCAGTGCCAGTTAAACGGAGTTAAACCCTCTCTTGCTGGTGCTGCTGCGCTCGAAATGCAAAGCTTGCAAAGCACGAAAAGCTCCTTCTTTCATCTACTATTGTAAAATCATCCATTCTATACTAAATTCAAGCAAATGAATGAATTCAGTTATTTTGTAAAAATCAATTTCACTTGTATTTCAGGTGAATATTTTCGTTACCTACGCATGCGTGTAATGAACGCGCCCGCGTCGAATTCCTCGTCGGTGTTTGCTCGTGCGAAATGTTGTTTTAATGCGTTTCCCATGTCTCTTCTCTCCGCGCAAACACTGAAAACACAAAATGGATGCACTCGTACTCCTCGCATCGTGTTTATTTAATAAATTAACCACGGCAGCCATATTGATATGGATTGGAATTGTGAGAAATTACAAATTTACTAATTTTAGGGGATTTTTTTTGGTTTTGGTGTTTTGGGGTAGTAGACGCATGCGATAAGGGTAAAGGGGGGATGTCAGTTGTGCACATGATTGTACATTGTGCAACTGCGTATGTGATCACGACTGAATGACAATATCCATAGGTAAATACGCGCTGGCAGAAGGGCTGCAACAGCGAAAGGGTTGCGCGTGGCGTGTTTTGCTCACATTGCAAATCCACCCCCTTGCCTGGATGATGCAAAACTGCATGTGTACATGCGCCATTGTGTTGCTACACAACTGCCATCTATATCATACAGAGTGAAACATAATTTTTTTCTTCCTTTTTTCTTCTTTTTTTTTTTCATTGAAAAGAGAAAAATCAGTATTGCGATTTGATATTTAATAATTTGTTGTGAAATGTTAATGTAAAGCGTTTTAAATTGAATTTTTTGCGGTGTGTTGCGTATGTTTGCTTTATTTGTGGGGTTATGTTGTGTTGGGCGATGTTTTTTCGTGTTTTGCATCGTGCATTTTACATTATTGGATGTTGTGTGTATGTTTGGGTATGTGCGGGCGACGTTTCGTTTTCGACGATGATCTCTCCGCCGCCGCCGCCTCCCTGCACGCACGACGTTTGAATTTCAATTTCCATTCGCAGCACATGTTGTGCGAATTGAATTCGTACGTAATTTATTTCATCGTTTCGTGTTTTTCTTGTATATTCTTTTTTTATGTGAAAAACAAATTTTTAATTTTTTGATTTGTTTTTGTATGCTTGCAGAGTTGGAGGTGGTGCAAATGGCATATTCACTCGTCGGCTGGACTTCAGCTCATTCAACGCATTGCCGAAGAACAAATTGAACTCCTATCAAATTAAGGTGAGTTCTTTTTTGTGTTGGTGGATTCTTGAATTGGCTTCGATTTTTCTACGTCGAGAGTTTTTTGTTTTATTTTGTTTTGTGGTGTTTTTCTCAGCGTCGAGCTACCATTATTTTTCTCAATTATTGGCTCTTTTTGTTGTTTCTGGCCGATTAATTAATTAAAGGTCAATCCAATGGCATCCAGGCTTTGTGGTAATTGATAAATTAATCGAGGAGACAACGACATTCATCCAAAAAGTAAAAAACTCAACAAAAAAAAAACACTGATACTTTACTTTGTCATTTGATATCGCAACATGTTAACATCTTGAAAACAAGATGTGCGTGCAAAAAATACACGCTGAATGCATCGATGCATGGCGCGCTTATGAATATATTTTCGAACGAAAATGAAATGTGCAATCATAATTGAACAGCGTGACGTGTATGTGCGTTTTGCGTGGGAATGCGAAACGATTTGAATTTGAAATACGAAACGCAGAGCCTATTCACCATATTCAAGCAGCATGCAAATTAGAATTGTGTGGATGGATCTTTACAAAGTGTGTCCGAATACACACGGATTAAAGAAGATATATCTATGTGATTATCGCGTGATTTATGTGGCGTATATCAATCGAAACATTCAAGCTTAAAATCGATTTTTTTTTGTTTTTCACATGCATACAATGTGCTTATTTTTGTAGAAAATATATTTTTTATTGAATCATCATCATCCGCCGCTGCTCATGGTGTTTCGATTGGCCATTAAGCTCGGAAAGCTGCCGGGGCTTAATCAGCGATCGTTAAGCGACGCAATAATCCGAGCTTTTATTGTAATTTATGAATGCGAAAACGCGCCAGACGAAATTATTACTAGACTACACATTACGCATTAATATCTATAATGAATTTGCACAAAAATACAAAAATTGTAATTAATGCAGTTTGGTGATGTGATTGGATGCAGATGTTCAGGATGAAGGATGTTTACAATTGTTTATTTTTTATTTTATTTTCATGTGAGTTGTGTAGGGTTATTCTTGGCGCGAAGGTCGCAGCGGTTAATTTTAGATGCAGTTTCTTGCTTTTCTTGTCGAGGGACTTAAAACGCGCAAATTACAAGAACCAGACGCCCTTGACCCAACTATATAAAGAAATATGTTGCTTTGGCATGTTGGATGCTGACCTAACTGACCCTAGGAAGAGCTACGCAAGAAAAAAACTGGTTTTTATTTAATTTTTAAGTAAAAATTAAAATTTCCGCATTTTTATGCTTTAGAGGACTTTTGAAGGTTAAATTTTTTGATTTTTGAAAGGGTGATCAATCATAAGTCATAACGAAGCCAGAATGCTAACGACCAATGGTCAAAAGGTTTTTCATTTTTTATTTCGGTGCATTTCCTAATTTGCCACCCTTTTTCGGGGAGTACCCACTCGTCTGTTGTCCCCCGGCCCTATTCATATTGCATAAGCATGAATAAATGAAATTGCTCACGCTGCGCATGCGTCCGAAATATATATTTTGGCGGTGTGGAGTATAGAGTATAGCGGGCGTGATAGGGGTGAGTTTGGTTCGGACTGGTTGCCATGCCATGCCGGGGACAACAACGACAACAGTGTCTGTTCGCTGCTTGCTGCGCGCACCCTTTCCGAAAAGTTCGCATCCTGAATTTTGGGGTGGTTCACTCAACGTGTGCATTGTTGAGCTCGGCGCATATTTTCCCCCATCGCTTTCGCGTCGACGAGGACCAGAGGAAAAAAAAAACACCACGCACATTGTGCACTCACGATAATTCATTAAATTTCGGGAGTTATGAGTGCAAAAATGAAATAAAAAATAAAAAAATCAGTAGAAGAGGGTGGATTGGATCGGATGGAAAAATCAAACATGCAAGCAAAAGTTAAATTAGTTATTTGTATACAATTTATATATTTTTTGTGTTTTGGTAATAGGGTAGTTTGTGGGCGGTTTTAAAAAAACATGTTTTTCATTTTCACGCTAATTTCCCCTCGGTTAACTCGGTTTGCCGGTGGAAAAACTTCATTTACTTTCGCTTTCTTTGCATGCGCCAACTTTCATCCCTTTCGGTTCATCCCTTTTTTGCATTCGCGTGTTCAGCTGGTTTCTTTGCTCGATTGAGCACGGTCGTGCCAGTACACCACCAGTCGTTTGCAGCCCTTTCTTTTTTTAATTTTTTTCTGTTGGTTTTTGTTTTTTTTAAGCGACGCTAGCGCCACCATTGCATTGCGCACAGGGAGAGGGCGCGTTCGGTGACGGCGAATAACAATAATTACCGTCTGACATGCAAATGCCCATCGCGACAGCACCACGCACATTCAGTGTGTTGGTGTTTTTTCGTCGCGTTTTATCTTTGTTTTGCGCGTGGTGGCAGCGCAAACGAGCGTGATAAATCACAATATAAACTTTTAAATGCGCAAATAAACGATGCGCCGCAAGGACGGACGCCGGAGCAAAAGGACAACTAAGTGGGCACTTTGAATATGCGGCGAAAAGTCGAATCGAGTTAGGCGAATTGAAATAAAAAACAAAAATAAGCGGTAATGATGCGATATACAAAGTTTATGTGAAGTGAAACTTTTGATTAGTTAGAAGTTAAAAAAAATTATTGATGAAACATTTATGTGTGGTTTATATTTCTATTTGTCTTATTTATCTTCTAAATTTTTTTACAAAAAATTTGATAATATTTTTGCTTGTTATTGAAAGAAAACGCAAGTACACTCCACAAGCCAACGACGTCGTCATCGCACACGCAAACAAAAACGCCCCGGAATACAATAAGCAATTTCCCATATTATTTTTCGAGTGCGTTATAAATTCACAAATAGTTTCTTTTCCAATGCATGCGCCCTGGCATGGCATATCGGGCGACGACAATCGCCGCAGTCGTCTGAAAGTCTCGCGCATTATTTTCCTCGCATTTATTATTTTATTTGCGCGAGCTTTCAATGCAATGCAAGCGCAGACAAAATGGAAAAATTGCTAGTATGGTTGTATACGTACACATAATATACCAGCGTGTGTGTATGGTTGCATCTTTCAACGACTACGACGACGCACGGAATGGAGACGAATGTGCGCAAATATTACCGAAACATAACCAAACAAAACGAAATACATTCACATTCACTCACATTGTGTAAATATATATAGATTTTTGTTGATATGCGGCAATAAAAGAAAAGCATCGGGGAACTTTCGCCGGAAGGATATTTCAATGTTTCCGATGGACACTTTTTCAAGCGATAAAATATTCTACGCATGCGCTGTTTTAAAATACTCGGAGGGTTATAACTTAAAGTATAAGTTAAAGAGCGGAAGTTGAAGTTTTACACCCTTTTGAAAAAGTTTTGTTTAAATTGCTGTGCGTTATGCCGGATGCGCCAAGTGTACGACCATAATTACTGTCGTTAATAACTCACGCAATAACACTTTGTACAGGCTTACCGGATTAAAATATTATACAAATTACAGTATTATATCATCCACTTCACGTCCGAGTGCATTAAACACTCAGAATTTTTTTGTTTTATTTATTATATTTACAAGCGTGTGTTTTTAACAGCGGAAATCGCACATTTTCATCCTGTAATTGTAATTAAATTAATTTTATACGAAGAAAAAAATAATTTAAATATTTTTATTGCGATGACAAATAAATCTCGAGATCTTTTAATTCGTTTTAATATCCTTTAATGTGCTATTAAAGATAAGTTTCGACTGCACTTTGAGTAATCACCGGCGATTTAAAAGCGAAAGGAGTGAATTAATGAATGGAGAGCTTTAAGTCGACTTGGAAAAAGTTGCGAGTTGCGAATCGTGCCGCGCCCATTTTCATTGCGTGTGTAGACCCTATAATGGCCGATAAAAATGATGCATTGTCGGCGTATGACCCGAATAAATTGAAACTTTGCGAGCTTTTTAACAAGCTGCACACAAAAAGTTAAATTAATGAAGAGTACAGCGGCGATTATGTAATATAGAGGGCAGTCCGCAATCACGTCCACGTTGATATTTATATAATCGCGTTTCATTCATGTTTCCATGTCATACTTTGGTTTCTTTTCGTCTTATTCGACTTACATACGCTGAAAAAGAGAAATCTGCTCCCGGTGCATCGCCTCGTTTGCCTTTAAAGTCATCGTTTAACTTATGATGCACTTGTTTGTGTCTTAACGCATGATTACTTCATTATACAGTGTGTTTTTGGAATTATTACAATATATTTTGTATGGTTTAAAGCAGTAGATGTGAATAAGTTAAACCAGCATCGAGGTGGATGTTTTTTTTTTGTGACTTTTTGGTTGTGTTTGTGTTGCTTTGGCATAACCGAGTTTATGGGCCCGGTTTTATAAGGTCGTTTTAACGCCCGAGCACGTCCCTCTTCTTGTCGTTGTCTTTGCGTGTGTGTAACTAAGTTTGTGTTGCGCGAAATGCGTACCTTTTTTTCTTTGACTCTGAAACTCTCCAAGACGAAACGTGTTACATGTATAATGTATAAAGTCTGTTTCTCCTCTTTTTTTTTTATTTTACTTTGCGCAGCGGTTTCATTCAAGACTTTCTTGCGAATTCAGCTGTGAAGACCCGGCTAACCGGGCGAGGAAATAAAGATAACGCGCCGCCTGAAAGAAAGTTAAATACGTACTACCTTGAAAAATAAACTAAAAAATTTAAAAAACGCCGTGTGGAGAGAAAAATTTAAATTTTAAAATATTTTCGATATTTACATAAAAATTACATAAATTATTTAATGTGAAGCAATTAATGCAGCCGGATTGCGTGAAGAAAATATTTGAATTTATAACTGAAAGTTATACGTTTTATTATTTTAATTTTTAATTAATAATTAATAATTTTCTCTTTTTAATAAATTAAATAAAACTCACGTAGTGCAATTTTCTTAGGGGATTACATTGGTGTAATTCGAGCCAATTTCACCAGATGACACTGGAAGTACTCGAAATTGTGCTGTAACCTGAGCTCATCTTTTGAG